GCCCTTTGCAATTACTTTGGGAGTCTTGTGCCTTTTTTTATTTTTTAATTAATCACAGTTTTACTCTAGCTCATTTAGCTCAATACAAGTCAATCCCAAATTTCACTATCTGACCATAGTGAAATTAAGTGGGGGGACTGGTCTTTTGTAATTTGTTTTTATATTTTTAGATTAAAATTCATTTGTACCATAGCTCTTCTAATAAAGCGTAAAATCCCCTTCACTATATTAGCCTAGTGAAATTACTAGTAAGACTAGTGTTTTTTTGTATTTTTATTTTTATATTATTAGAAAAAACCCCCCTAGTTGTACTTAGTCTTTCTACTCAATACATTCAATACCAAATTACTATTTAGCCATATGCATTACTTTGGGAGGTGCTACTTTAATTTGTATTTTTTTTTTTAGATTAATTATTGTACCAAGCCTTTTACCAAGACATAGTCATCCCAAATTACAATTAGACCATATGCAATTAAGTGAGAGACTAGTGCTATTTTTAATTTGTACTTTTATATTATTAGATTAAAACCCTATTGATTTATTCACTCTAGCTAAAAAATGATCCCAAAATCATTATTAGCCTTGTGCATTAAGTAAAGGTCTTGTTCATTTTTAAATTTTTATCTTTATTACAGTTTGTACCTAGTTGTACTTTAATTCATCCAGCACAACAATAGACAACATCAACTTCATTATGGTAGTAGTGACTATACCCTACATACCAAAATATCTAGCTATTACTTGTCCAAAATTCCTCCCCCAAAAAATATCAGTACTAGAACCAAACAAAAATCGGATTTTAAAAAACCCTAATTTAAACCAGAAGTGATTGATCACTTGACCCCGATCTAACCCCCATAAACTGACACCCAAACAAAACCATTGGAAAAAAACTGTCTTTATTACCAGCACACCCGCCCCCACTTCCTAAACAATGCAAATCTACAGTTTTTAAATAAACATGGTCCTTAAGCAAAACACATGAGACCTCCCCGCATCCCTTTATCACAAAAACCCCTTTCCCGCATTTTTTCTTTCGAGCGCAACGCCCCGGGTTTATCAGGCGCTGATCACCCGGGGCCTGGTCACAGACCCGGGGGCCCGGGGGGGTTGACCCCCGAATTTCCGGTAACCCAGGTAAGACCCCGGCTTAAGCAGGACACAAAGATCTACCCCCTACCGGGTCACGCAAAACAACTGAAAACCCCCCAAGTTGGGGGGGGGGTATTGAATCTATTATCTAACCAATTTTTTGTCTTGCACCACTGCTTTTTGATGAATTGGGGGGTAATTTTTGTAATTTTACGTAAAAACCTTAAAAGCCTTAACAATCGGTGCCTTTTTCCGGGTACCCCACACAAACATCCCAATTTTTTAGTGAGAAATTTAAAGTCACTAATAACAAACGCAAATGAAAAAGCACACCTTCTCTTGGGGAGACTTCAACATAAACCTTTGGGCTTACTAATGATACCCTGTAACTATTTCATCAAAAAATTAACAACACTTCTCATACCAACAATAACTAAACCAACCGGGCTCACTGAGAAAGTGAAACCCATAATAACCACATAGGACCAATATACAGCCCCCTTAAATCAGGAAAAATCACAGAAGCACTACAACCACTACCCCCCTTTCCTCCGACAAACTTAAAAACCCACTTGAATACAACAAAGTTCATTTAAAACCCATAAAGGGGCCCTCTAAGGAATTTCACAGCTGCCTAGAATTTTTGTTGGGCCTCAAATTTCCCCAAAGGCCAAGGTATTGATGACTGGACAGACTCTTTTTTAACAAATTACTTAGATATACAACAAACTTGTCCTAAAAAAACAAAACAATCACAAAAAACGGTTTGGGGTTCCCAGGCTAACCAGCCCCATTCTGAAACCCATTGACAAGAAACCCCAATAAAAAGCAATATAGAAGGGCTTAATACACAAAGATATTCTTAAACCATTCATCAGCTTCCCAAAGAAAATTAAAAAAAAGAAAAACCAACTATAACTCCAGTAGATTCACAGACACAAGAGATAAAAAAAAGACGGAAATACCTCTCAGATTCTGGGACCACAAACGGGAAAAAAACCCCAAAGAAATTGTCCTAACTAAACCTAATAAACACCACTAAAACCCCATGACACGCTAACAAATAAACGACTTCTTCTAAAACATAGGATCCAATCCCCCAGTAAAACCCCACTCCCCAATCCCCATGCCGGGGACTACCTAAGGAAATTTCCCTAATTCCTTCTACTTGCACCAACTGAGCCCACGGAAGTCATTGGATCATAAAGTCACTTAAAAATAACCCGGGGGAATCTGTCTCATGCCCCACCATTCGTACAAGCGAGCGGCCCATGTCCTTTCACATGCATTTCATTATTTTTAAACAATAAAGGACTACACCTTCCCGAAACTACTCAAATGGCAAGGGTTTTTCACCAAACATAAAGGTGGTGACCCACAGACTTAAACAACTATAGGCCAATATCTAACTTACCATTGCACCCAAAAAATCTTTGGAAACTCTGCACAGGAGACTGAATCTTTTAAAAACGGCTCAAAAATACTCAACCCCTCCCATTTGGATCAGGAAAAATAAAAGCACTAAGTGCAATCATAAAATGCTAGATCTGCTTAACAGCATGAAAATAAGGAATATCCCTAAAATTTTTATGCCCTAAAAAAAGTTTTTGACACAGTAAACCACGAAATCCTACTCCAAAAACTTGACCACTGGGTATAAAGGCATCCTTGCTTTTTCAAACTTACATTACATAGGTATCAGTACTCCCATTAAAGACCACATCAGAAACACGGCCATTTAAAAACTGGATTTTCCGCGGAATTCCTTGGTCCCTGCTCTTCCTCAATACATCAATGCCCTTTCCAAAACGTATCCCCAACACCAAAACCCTTTCTTTTGCGATGACCGACTTATGTCATCTCCCCCCTAATTTCCCACCCTCAACCCCCATTGTAAAGAGACGATTAAATTCGATTTGGATGACAGCCAATAAACTTACCTTAACACTGAAAAAAACTTATATATTATGTTTGGTACAGACAGGAGAGCAAAAATTAACATAAAATTGACAACACTCAATTACCAAAATAAGGGGGGAAAAATTTCCTAGGCTTAACCCTTTACAACAACCTGAATTTCAGCACCCCTATCCGCATATAGCCAAAAAAGTTCCAAAACGGTTGGGGTCCTCTCCAGAACGATTCACGTGCCGCAAAAAAACCCCCCTCACCTATACCACTCACTTATTTATCCATACCCCACCATGCTATTTTGCTTGGGATCAACTGCACAACAACCTGAAGCCAATAATAACAAAAAAAGGCAGTAAAAATAATCACTAAATCCCATCCCTGGCAGCACACCCCCCCCTTTAAGATCTAAAATTACTCCCAGTTCATACATCCACACTTACCGGGGCAACTATTCTACAGGGGCCCTTTAAACTCTAATTCATCCTTGACCTAAAAAGCTTTTTTGTGTTTGTGACAGAACCCCCCAGGGTCCCCCAGAAACAAACATCTCTACCAATTTTTTCCCCCTGCCCACTAAAACCCTTTTTAAAAATTCAATGTATGCAAAGGCCCTAAAAATTTTAATACCTCCCCAAATCAGAACGCAAACACTTATCACCTTCAAAATACCATTAGAAAACATCTTACTCCCTGATAACCCCGTAATAACTACACGAATAAACCCGGTTGTTCACACTTACACCCTCCTCATTTGACCATAAACAAAAAATTAATCTCAGTCTTAAAATAAAATTAATCCGGATACTCCAATACTGAACTATAACTTGCCAAAACAAAAGCTTCACATTGCTAAACTCACAAATTAGATTTTTAAATTTGCCCTAATACCAACTTACTTAATTTGTAATACTTTACAATTAAGAATAAAACTAGTATGCCCAAATGCCCACCATGCTAACGTTCTATGCACTCGTAACACAATTTTTCTAATTAAACCAAACAATAACCCAAAATTTTTGTAAATCAGCATTGTAATCCTTATAGAAATAAAATTTGAATTTGAATTTAATTTGAACAGGCCAGTGGATACCCCTGCTCATTACTTGAAATAGGGCCCAGGGATCCCGTGCGTATTATCTTAAAAAAGGCCCTGGATACCCTTTTATTCATTGCCAGGAATTTTCCCCGGGGCCCCGCAAGCATTTTAAATTTTTACCTACAGATGTAGTATACACAGAGTTTGCAAAAGCTTTCAACAAGTGTGACCACAAAATGTGTGATAAAGGAATATCCGGGAAAGTTGGGATAGATGGATCTACAACTTCCTAACAAACAGAACACAAAGAGTAATAGTAAACAGAGTGGAGTCTGAGGTGGCCACAGTGAAAAGCTCTGTTCCACAAGGCACAGTACTTGCTCCCATTCTATTCCTCATCTTCATTTCTGACATAGAGATGTAAGTCACAGCTCTGTGTCTTCATTTGCGGATAACACCCAGAGTACCATGACAGTGACCTCCATTGAAGACACTGTGAGACTCCAAGTGAACATCAACCAAATCTTCAAATGGACCACTCAACCTAACTTGAAGTTCAATTAAGAGAAATTTCAACTACTCAGATATGGAAAACTTGAGGAATTAAAACTGTATCAGGTTATACAACAAATTCTAACCATACAATAGCGAAAAAGTAACGTGAAGAATCTGGGAGTGATAATGTCAGAGGATCTCGCCTTCAAAGACCACAACAATGTATATACCTCATCCACTAGGAAAATGATAGGATGGATAATGAGAACCTTCAAAACTAGGGACACCAACCCTATAATGATTATCTTCAAATTGATTCTTCTGTCTAGGCTGGAATACTGCTGTACACTAACGGTCCCCTTCAAGGCTGGCGACATTGCAGACCTGGAGAGTGTACAAAGAACTTTCACGTAACTATCACTAACAGTATAAGTAATAATGCACTATCTGCTTGTTACAGGGTCACAAGAGTGCCATCAGCTGTCTACAGATAGTCAGCAACAGTACTGTACTATCAGGAGGTGTCAAAGATAGGAAGGTCATCGCCTGGGATACTGAGGACGACTTTGAGAAGATCGTAGAAACCAAGGTAATTAGGTACCATGGTAATTAGGTACCGTGGTAATTAGGTACCGTGGTAATTAGGTACCATGGTAATTAGGTGCCATAGTAATTAGGTAATGATAGTTTCCATGGTAGTTAGGTACCACGGTAATTTGGTACCATTCTAGTTAAGTACCATGGAAGTTAGGTACCATGGTAATCAGGTACCATAATAGTTAGGTACGCTAACGATGCTAGCTACGTTTCTTATGTTAATTAGAGACCCCTGAAGAATCTTACTGAGTTCTTTATATTAATTAGTTACTCTGACGATGCCTAACTACCTTTCCTATGTTAATTAGGTAATCTGCGTATATACACGATACATATACACTGTGTTTATACACGATGTATATACACTGTATATACACGATGTATACACTGTATATAAGCAAGAAACAGTGAGAACTGTGAGTGACCAGACTGTGGTAAGTCTGCCGGTGTTCCACCACTTACGTTGGTCGGAAGGGCATGCTTATATGGGCATGTCACACACTCATATAAGCATGCCACACTTTCCGTGCTAATTACGTACCCTTACGACCCTAACTTTCACATGCTAATTATGTACGCTGACGACCCCAGTTAACTTTCCCATGCTAATTAAGTACCCTGACGACCCCCCACTAACTTTCCCATGCTAATTAAGTACCCTGACGACCCTCAACTAACTTTCCCATGCTAATTATGTACGATGACGACCCCAGTTAACTTTTCCATGCTAATTATGTACCCTGACAACCCCCAACTAACTTTCCCATGCTAATTATGTACCCTAACGACCATAACTAAATTT